ATCTTCTGTACTCAGAGGGGAGCCTGGGGCCCAGGGGACAGAAACTTGTCTCTAGGCAGATCTTAGAGTCAGGCAGGACTAGCATTTGAACAACCTGAGCAAGCAGTCTCCCATCTGGTAGCTTCAGTCATTCAGTGAGCATGTGTGTACCTGGTCATCTTTCAAACAGGCCTGCCTGGAGGAGGCCATTACTCCCAGAAATGGATTCCTTGCCCACAGGCAACTAAGCAACCTTTGGTGACCTATTCTTGCCATCAGGAAAAGGGGTGTTGGCTGTAAAATAGCAAGTGTACAAGAGTAGGGGCAGAGGAGGGCAAGTGGGGGATGCACTTACGTCTGTCTGGGTAACCTGAGACCATTCATGTACTGCCCCAGATGCTGATTTCTCCATCTGAAACAGGGATCTAGTCCTAGTACTCTCTGAACCTGGTGTGGAGACCTTATTCATTTGTTCATTCACTCACTTAGCTTGGGAGAACTGAAAGATGCTTTAAAATAGTTTCTCCCAGCGGGCGGTGATGGTGCTCGCCTTTAACCCCAGCACTCAGGAGGCAGAAAACAGGCAAATCTCTGTGAGTTCAAGGCCAGCCTGATCTACAGAGTGAGTTCTAAGACAGCCAGGAGTACACAGAGAAATCCTGTCTTAAAAAAGAAAAAAGAAAAAAATTATTTTCCCTCTGATTATCTGCTTCCTACTTTTCCTAAAGATGCAAAACCAATTTTGTCCCAAAGCCTAGAGCAATTTGCTTTCCAGTCTCTTGTTAAGAGGATGGAGGGACCTGTTCATATCTTTTGTGGGGAGTGTGGAGAGGGCAATGGTACAGGAAGATGAGGCCTGAGGGAGGGGGATGCTGAGGGAAGAACCTGTCTGCAAAAGCTGGGGTGTGGGGGCTAAGGAGAGATCTCAGAATTCCTTTACTCTCCTCAGCCCCCTAAAAGATCTCAAAGGATGTGGTGTAGCCCTACCTAGAATGTCCAGCCTTGCATTCCCACAGACAGCTGTCCAGCTGTTCCCTCTGCTCTAGGCAGCCTCCGAAGTCCCCTGACACCCCAGCTCTGAGGAAGCTCTTGGGAAATGTAGTTGTTTCTCCCTGCCTTCCGCTTTCCTCCAGAGGCAGCTGCCTGAGTGGGCTCCTTGCCCCATTGCTCACTTCAGCTGTCCCCTCTGAAGCCTGAGTGTCACCTAGGTAACATCTCTACTGCTCCATTTGGTAACCGATGGACTATCGACAGAGCTTCAGAATAGGGCCTTGCTTCAAGTCTAGACCCCCCCTCCCATGTACTCCTGGACCAGCAAGGGAAATCTGGGCAGGTTGCTTCTAGTGTAGTCATGAAGATGGGTAGGGTAAGGAAGCCCCAAGAGGTGCTTGTCTCCATGGCCCAGTGGGAGACAAGCAAGAGAAAGCATGAGCCCAGGGCAGATGGGTCTGCTTGTCCTTCCTTCTGGCTCTTCAGCAAAATAAAGTGTGGATCCTTGCCCTTCCCCCATCGAGGGACACTGAGGGGCCACCCTGCCTGACCATGGGTGGCTGGTTTTACTTTGACTTTATCTGTGTTCTTGGGTTTTTCTATAGAGTAGGGTGTGCCTCTGGCTGGGTGTGGTCACCACTGATAACTTGCACCCTCCGGCTCTTGTCCTGCTCAGAGTGGGAAGGAACTCCTAAGATAGCCCTAAGTGGCTGGGGTGGGGGGCTTGTATTTCCAGCTAAGGGGAGCAAGAAAGCCCTCTGTTGACCTGTTGACCCCTTGAAGAGGTGCTGGCTAAGGGAGACTGGTCTGTGCCCTGCATCAGCTTCTGGCACTGATCCTGTTGGTTCAGGAACTTTCACTTTTGTCTCTGGAACTTCCCCTATTCCCGGAGTACAGTGACCTAGTTTTTAGAAGCCATATATGTCCCTGCAGGAGCCTGCAGGGACTACAGCACAATAGGGTCCAGTGCAAACTGACCCCAACACCCAAGCTGCTTAAAATTGGCTCCCTTTCTCCTGATCCAGTAATATCCTGGCCCTTTCTGTATCCTTGGCCTCCTCCTGCCTCCTGATCATGGAACACCTTTTCCAGGAAGCTCTTGAGGCACTGTACATGTCACTGAGTCTCAAGTGTCTCTTATGGTGTCCCACTAGCACTTCCCTGACCTGTCTGAGACATGGGAACTGGAAGTTTAGGATGGGCTTAGCTATGCCTATCACACAGATGGGGACCTTCCTTACTGGGACCATGTAGCTCATACAAGCCCTTGTTTTATTACCCTGTCTATTTGCTGAAGGGTGGGAAACTCCTGGAAGTCATTTGTCAGTTCCTCATCTCCCTCACACACACCTGATGGGATCTTACAAGGAATGGAGACTAACTTGCTTGCATGCCCTAGTGGTAGGTTGCATGCTGCCTTCTGCAGGGGAAGCCCCGTAGAATCTCCAGAAAGCTTTTGTAACAGTCCCGGCAGAAGCATGTATTTCTTAAGAGAGATGCTGACCTCAGATATCAATTATTGAGACAATGAACTCAAGGAATTGTAATGTCCCCAGGAGTCTCATGCTGGGGGAAGGAAAAGGGTGCAACTCCAGTGCCAGCAGGAGGAGGAGGGGGATAGACACGGAGGACACTTGCTTTCCATGGCTACTTGAAAGAGGGCTTGCCTGGTGGGTAAGGGCAACCTCAAGCAGGACAGCGTCCTTATTAACAACTTGCATGCCATTTAAATCCAGACCTTGTGTCAGGGCTCCCAAGGTGGACACGGGGGCCACTGGATCTTTTGTTCGTCTTCTCGGGGCCACATTGTCGCCTTTCTCTGCTTTCCACTATTATCTTGGGGTCCTGAGGACAGTGTGGACCCTCAATTGTCAGGACTCCCAGAGTTCAGGCTTGTTCCCTTAACGTTCCAGGAACATTTTGCCTGGGAGAAAGGACCATCTTGTTCCTGGTTGAAATCTGTCATCCTGCCCTTTCTACCTGCCAGCTCCAGCTTTGTCGTGTGGGATTCCAGACTTCCCCAGAGCACTCGCCGCTCCAGTCTTCCAGTCTGATCTCCAGTGTGTGCTTCCTCTCACAAGACCCCCCTTGTGCAAGGCAGGGTGGAGCACCCATGGCCTGGGAGCCCATGGTTCTGGTTACCACATTATCCTGCTGGCTCTTTAGCTCACTAAGAATGACCAGACTGTGACTTGTGTCCAGGAGTTGCTCTTGTTCTATCCCCTGCCCCCATGGCTTTTTGGAAGACTATGATTTGATGTTCCCAGTTCCACATCAGCATGCTACACTCAGGGTCCACCTTGAGATGCTCCTTTTGTGATGTGCCCTCCTACTGTCAGGTGGGACCACACAGCTGTGAAATACTGCAGGGTCTTCTACCTCGAAAACTACCCTTAAACACCACCTGTTTCCTCCCATCTCAGGAGACCTGAAATCTGTCTTTCGTCTCACAAGGGTGTGGACCATCTCTGGCCACCAGGACATGAGGATTTCTGGCTGTGGCTCCACCCTCTGCCTCAAGCTGAGTCATGATCATCACCACATTTACCTCTGTTCACAACTCCATCTGTTACCCCCAAACCTCACAAATCAGTTCAGAGCCTTTTCAACCCTCCCTCACCATATCTGCCTGAGACTAGATCTCCTATGCAGCCTTCCTGGTCCGTATAGCCCTCAAGGGCAGTCTCCTTCTTCTGCAATTTGTCATAAAGTCCTAGGACATCTCAGTCACCAGCCTCATGGCTGTATTTCTTTCTCCCTCCTGCCTGCAGTTAGCCCCTAGCACTTCCTTCATGTCTGTGGTTGAATGCTTCCTAATACCACCACAGAACAGGCTCCTGGCAGATGGGTCCATGCTCACTCTCAGCCCTCCCAGTACCCCATATCTACAGAGAGGGGTGGATTCCTAGATTCCTAAGGTGTGTGATCTTATCCTGGCCCCTTGCTCCAGGCTCCTCTTGCACCATTGCTATTTTCTGCCTACAAGCCCATGCCCCTCTCTGTGTGAGCTTTTGAGGTCAGGATTCAGCATCATGGGGGGCAGTGCTCAGGGAGCAGACAGGTAGATTAGAGTTGGACTGAACTGGGTGGGTGGATGTGGCCACGCAACAAATGATGAATTGGGGGAGGGGGAAGAGCTGGGCCTGGA